TCTGTTTCGGTAGGAACCCGAAAATGGACATGGAAGAGTCTATTATTTTGTGGATATATTAAAAAAATATGGAAAAAGAAAACGGACCCATTGGGTTCACCGAATTTTGAAAAATAGACACAGTTTGTTTGCGATATTATATCCGAATCCGAAAGACAGTGAATCTAAATTCTGTAGAAAGTCTATAAAATCACTTGACAATTTGCTTCAACTCATCCAATGAAAGCGCGCCCCAAACTGAACAGCAAACGGACGTTACATATCTATCAAAGCGCGCGTTAACATAAAAAAATGTTTCTTGTGTTTTTTTAATTATTTTTTTTTTTATTATTTGTCATTATAGCAGCAATAGAAATACATACTCAGTGAAAATTTCAACTCTACCTATTATGGTCTATGAGATACAGTCCCCTGACCGACGGACGGATGGACAGCGGAGGCTTAGTTATAGGGTTCCCGTGGCACCCTTGGGTACGGAACCCTAAAAAAAGTATATTTTCTTTCAGTGAATCTTCAATAATTTTAACTACTTTTCCTCCATGTCCCGTTAGTTTGTTCCACCCTTTACATTGCTAGGATTATGAATTACTAATAAATAGTTTTTGTGTGATATGAGTACTGTTAATTTTTTCTATTTTTAACTAAAAAGTTATTGAAAAATTTTACTTGTTTTTTACAGTCCCCTCCCCGTAGTCATGCTCTGCTTAAATATCGTTTAACTACGAGTATATTACATTTAATCCTTAAAATTAAAAGATTGAGTAGTAAAATAAAAGGAAGAAAAGGACTAAAAATTCTTTAAAATAATTTTTTCCGCCATTTTGTTAAAATAAGAACGAAACTTTGAAAGGAACGTATAAACGTTTAATGATATAAATTTTAAGAATAACTTATTTTCACAAAAAAAGTCCCCCAAATTTGCTTTTATCGTTACTAGATACAAATATACTTGTGCCCCTGATTAAAATAAAAGTCTAATTGCACCGAGCCGCGTATTTATAAAGAACTAGCCTTACATAATAATAATGATTAGGGTTTGGGAAGTTTCGACGTTTTCAAAGTCCCGGGACACGAGAACCCCCACCACCAAGGCCCCGGCATGTTCCGGAACTTCAAGACTTCTCAGAATAAAATTAAGTTTTGGCGAGATGTACCAATAAATAAAGCAATTTTAGTAAAAAATCGACATTTATTGAACATATTTTATGTTTCAAATTCTAACATCGTTATTTATAGTAGGTATAATTTGTATATTTAATTCTTATAATCAAAAATTCAGATTCTGGTTGTAAAATCTTATTCTTTTAAAGCAAACTTAAAAATACTTCAAACAACTGCAACTTGGATTTTAATGTTGCCCTGCATTTTATGCGATACAAAATTGCAATTCTTTTAGTTTCTTAAAAATATATAATAAATTGGGATTTTAAAATAAATGTAAAACATTTTAATTTATTCAATTGATATTAATGATTATTTATTTATGATATTAATAAATTTTATTTATTTAGTTGATATTAATGATTATATTTTTAAAATAAAATAATGTAACTTACGTTATAATATTCTTCATACTTGAGCTCAGGGATCAATATCATGACGCGTAAAACTGTGTAAGGTGACCAACAAATAAAAAATGAAGCGGCCACGGCAGCTGAAAATAACAGCCACTTCACAATAAGCACACCATATACCTATTATGATATAATTGCCTCACAAGAAGTACGAGTATGTTTATTTTATCTATTATTTAAATATACTTGTAACAATAGCGTTAAAAATTATGGTTTGTTTGGTTTTTACAAAAAAATGTTCGGTTAGATATATAAAGTTAGTATTATTGAGTATTCTGTAGATATTTCTATACAAACCTAGCATTTTAACAGCCTTATTTCTGTTTTGCTTTCCGTAATCGGGATTTGGTCTAGATTTCGATTTAGTAGACTTTAACTTAAGCGCTATGAGTATATAAAGAGCAAATATAACAGTCATTGGAAGTCCAAAAAATACTAGTAATTCCACCGCAATCAAATAAGTTTTATCTTTATCTTTAACAGTAAAAAAGCAGTACACATTTTGTTTTCTCTCAACAAAATAAACGTAAAAAATACTAGGAAATGAGAAGATACACGACAACATCCAATTAATCGCCACTATCTTAAAGACTCGCGAGTTTAAAACTAGTCTTTGTCGAAGAAACGGTTTCGCGATTACCAAATATCGTTCTATAGTAAAAGCTAATATCGTCAGAACACTACAATTGCACAGAAGGTCCCACATTAAAAAGTGTATCCGACATCCTTCCTCTCCTAATGGGTAAAAATCTGGTACCCAAATTATATATATGTCTATAGGAACTAGCAACGTAGTCATGAGGTCTGTGATGGCTAGATTCATAAGGTAGCAGTTAGTGGGAGTCCTCATAATCTTATCTCGAGCTATCACTGCACACGTGCACACGTTGCCAATTAAACTGAACAGCATGGATACACTAAGAAATAAGGTAAGTATGATTTTTATTAAATTGCTCTCTTTATAAGAGCTTTTGTCATCATAGAAAGAAAGACCTATTCCGTATGATGAGTACGTATCGTTCTCCCAAGATGTATTGCCACTTAGCATCGTATTATAATTTTTCCTTTTTAATCTTTTTACGCGAGTATCAATACCGACGAATGCGACTATGAGACTGATAAAGCTTGGAACCTTTTTGTGGAAGCCATGTGTAAGTAGGTAGTACAGGAGGTTCAAATTGTGATGTAAAAAATAAATCTTTTATACATCCATAAGATACATTACTTACTAATAAGCTATCCTGTACAATGCGAGTTTGTCCTGATAGGTATTTCGCTAATAGCAGAATGGACCGCGGTCACAATCTTTGCTTGTTGAGGTCTGCTTCAGTATGCCGGTCGTCGAGGCGTCGTGGTTGAGTGCGTAAGCGAATTATCGCTTGCATTAGCACCATCCTGGGACGGGTAAGGTTCCGTTAGGTTTTAATGGGTAGTTTACGTCTGGTTTTCCTAGCCGGTGAGTTACTATATTATTACCGATATGATAATATTACGATATTGCAGTTTAATATGCAATCATCAAGGATTTTGTAGTATAAAAGTTACAACGAATGAAATCTCTCTTAGCTTTAATCCATACATACGACATATAATAAAAAGATCAATATGCACATACATATTTGTTTTAAATAAATATATTTGCTATAGACATGATTGTCAACACAGTACCATAGGTTTCAAAAATTCTGTTATTGACTGACATACAAAACAAGCGTAACCTTCACAAAAAAAAGTTATACCGAGATAGTACCTACCTCAATTCGGTTTTTTTTTATAAAGGTTTTTTCCCAAATGTTAATAGATTTTCATAATTCTTGTTTTAATATATAGATTATACCTTCATAATAATTTAAAAAAATCTACCTCAAGGGAGCAATAACGACTCTTAAGCGATTTTGAAGTCGGTGTACTTTAATTAGTCAAAAAGTAATTTTGAAGAAAGTACTGCATAAGATTTCATTTAAATTCATGCAACGTTCAAGCTACGTTCACCTATACTTTATAATGTCTACTTTAATATTATAAAGAGGTAAAGTTTGTAAGTTTGTATGTAGAGGTAATCTCTGAAACTACTGATCCGATTCCGAAATTTTTTTCACCCATTGGTAGCTATAAATATTACCGCCGAATACTATAAATATTATTTGCGAACTAACAAAAAATTGAATTAAAATATTTCTCGTCGTTTCTTATTTTTGATGTCGATCCGGCGAATGTAGCCGGAGGTACAGCTAGTAATATTAATAAAGGAATCCTACATGGAATTCAATATGTTTCCTTAATATCTGATATGAGAGAGGTGTGGGCTATTTATGATATGAGATATAGTGATTTCCTGCAAGATGTCGATTAAAAAATGGTATTTTTCTGTTGCGTTACAATACTGCATGATTTTACTTCACGTACTGTGTAACTTTATTTATTTATTCTTGCAGTCGCAGATGATTTACCTTTTTAACAATTTAAAGCTAAAGTTTCTAATGTGCCACTAAGTAAGGCAAATCCTTAAAAAATTTCAATATAAAAATGTGGAATTAAGTTAAATTGACTCGTTTGCGGGATAGCTATGTAGTAATAAAATTACTGTAATTTGATATTTGAAAGATCAACTGTTGAGTTTCTCGGCTCTTAGTTTTTTTTAGTTTCTCGGGTCTTAGTTTAGATTCCCAGTAAAATTGAGAATTGAAGTACTTGTCCTGGTTCAAATAAGAAAATGCAAGCCGTCAGTAACCTGCACCTATATTAGGTGAGTATAACGATACGTCAGTGACGTGTTTTTAAGTTTTTAGGTATCTAAACCTAGAAGGGAAGTAGGACAAAAGAGTATTATATGTGTTAATTTATTTAAAATATGTAAGTGTACATATTTTATATGTAAAGACATAATAATTTAAATGTTATTATCATCCTCATTATACAGCAGCTAATAAAGTTTATTTAGGATATTGTTTACAGTATAGACTGAAACATGAATAATAGATAATATTTATAATAATAAAATCATTTATTTTTTAAATTAGCAAACTTAAACACTCTGTATATTAAAGTAATTGACTATCTAAGCAAGCTCATGATGACAAATTGGTGGCAACCATAGCAAGGCCGCGTTCACCCCTAATTGAAATTACAATGTAGTCAGGATGTTTGTAATATGGGTATATGTGCTACCGAACAAACAAAGCTAACCAGTCAAATTACTATAATGAAAAACAAGTTTTTCCTAATATTTTTATATTTCTAACAAGCTACTAAGTCTTTTAATTCCATGTAATTGAAATAATTATAAATAATCAAAAAGATTATTTTACAAATAAATATTATATCACAAATCCTTCACAGTTGGTCTAATCCAATGCAAACTCTATTTCTATTTGGACAACAGATACCTTTTCTGAATTATGGTAATAAATAATTATCTTAAATCTATTCTGTGTTAATTTTATCTTGTGTGGGCACATTTAAATTTTCGTAACCCCATTCCTCGTGAGAGCCATCACCCGTCCTCTTCACTCTCTTTTCGATGACATCTCGAGATACGGTTTTGAGGTCGTAAGCCCAGCCAATTTTGGCCATGCCGTCAATGAAGAGCTTTGAAATGTTCAGTGAATATTCTCCTAGTTCTGCTGTTTTGTAATCCCAAGGGAAAGTGTGATGGTAGTTGTGAAAACCTTCACCTAGAACCACCAGTGAGACTGGCCTGGTTTCAACGGGGTTAATGTTCTTGTCATAAGGCTTACTGCCCCATTTGTGTGCCGCAGAGTTGACGAGCCATGTGACGTTTAGCACATAGACGTATCGGAAAATGGCACAGACGAAATAAGCATTCCATAATGACTCCCCCCATAGTGTGGGAATATATGATGGTAAAATGAAGCAAGCTAAGGGCATCAGGATCAAATAGTACCTGAAAAAGATATATTTTTCTTCTTTGTTTTATAGATGTAATGTGTACATTTAAAAATTGAAATTATTCTAGTAATAAACATTGTAAGCTTCATTAATGATTCATATAGTAATCGGTGATATATAGATATTAAATATTACACAATACGAGTACTAAACATTGTAAGTCCCGTTTCATACATGGCTTCACTATTTCATATTTAATATTCATTTCATTTGTATTTTAATAAAATTACTCATCAGTGGAAAAAACATATTATAATTCTCAGATGGCACTTGATAATTACTTAGTAAACATAAGGTACCTAAAATTTTCAATTATACATTAGATACTAACTTTTTCTGGAAACGCAGTATTGGGTCGGCCCATAGGTCCGTCATATCAATTGTATGTCCTTTTGCTTTAATCTCTGGGTGCTTCCTTACTAAGAGCCACCCGACATGTGAAAAGAAGAAACCTCGTGTGGCATTGTGGGGGTCTGCATCTGTCTCTGAGTACTTGTGGTGCATTCGATGATCTCGCGCCCAGTCTAATACGGCATCCTGATAATAAAATAATTCCATTAGTACTTGACCCATAAAACTGACAAAAAATATTAAGATAAGGTTAAAAATATATAAAGAGAAACATAATTATCTACGTTATTATAAATGCGTATTTGTTATGTATATAAGTGGCATAAATAAAATATTTCAAAACAATGTAATTTATCTCTAATGTTGTAAGAGAGTGTGATACCCAATAAAAGTAGATATGTTAACAGTCAAAGGATATCATAAATATTATAGAAATTAACATAAACACAAAACAAAGATAAAATTGACTTTCCCATTGACATTGACCGGAAGCATGTTTGGGTCTCTGAGCTGTGGACTCGTATCACGCGTAGATAGTAAGAGACCATGTGGGCTACGGGATTATCCATCTTTGGACTTTGACTGTGAGTGACATCATTTTTTATGAATTATTGTTGACATTACCACAGTTTATAAATCAAAACAGTCGTCCGACGAAGCCGCCTAGACAGGGCAATCGTGCCGGGTTTAAGGGAAGAGACGTATGTAGGCACATGTACGTTGCTGCCGCCCGAATTAGTTAGTAGCTTTAATTTTTTTTATTAAAATAAAATAATGATTTTCAATTTTTTAGCAAAGTTAGTTTTATATAATATAATGTAATTAATAAATCTCCAAATCACCTATTATAAATGGGCAACGGATAAATATATTACACAACACATACAGATTAAAACAAACACGCGTTAGCCCTTAATCCCTCCACGACCGCGGACACGCCGGCGTGTTAATTAACAATAGATTTCTTAGAATTTTGATTAATTACAAATTTACAGATTTATTTATAAAATTACCTGAAGGTGTTAAAGTCGTGTCCCGAGCTACTAACACTAATTCGAACGGCAGCAACGAATGCAGCTCGGGCTCGCCTACATGCGTCTCATACCTTACACCCCGCACGATTGCCCTGTCTAGGCGGCTTCGTAGGACGACTGTTTTGATTTATGGACTGTGGTACCATCTAGTTCTATGATAAACTACGAGGCTTGTGTTATGGATATCAGATAGTTGACACACTACACATATCTAACTTTAAATACATACATATGATAAATATAAACACCTATGACTAACTATATGACCCATGACTATTATACAAAAATTCGTGCTCATCAAACAAATGAACGCTACCAGCGGGACTCGAACCCGTGACCGCTCGCACAGCAAGTAGGGTCACTACAAACTGAGCCAAACGTATAAGTAGTAAAACAATTTTCACGAAGGAAAACAATCAGTCATGTGTAATTCACGTGTAAAATAAGATATTAATTACTTTGACCTGAGTCATTGATAAAAAATCTTCTTCATATGAAATGATATTTTATTAGCAATCAGATTTTTTTGTAGACAAAATAACGAAGATTGCGTAATTTGGTCAAACGAATTAAATAAAAATGCAAATGAATATGTTTTTTGGTTTTTGCCATAATTCGTTCATGGTTTTTGCTTAAAATATATTTTATTTTTTTATTTTTATTAAGTGACTTTTAGTGTTCTATAATTAAAAATATATCATACATCTTTGTGAATATTTGCCGAAAAAGTTATTTACCCGGGCAACTCTTACCTGCTTGTTACACGTGGGACGTGCGACCGTTAAGGTTTTCACTCAGTCATTACAAAGATTAAATTAAAAATATTGAGCTATAACAACTGCAATGAGAAACTAACTTTTGATAACGTGAACGGATAAAAAATCAATTCTATGTTTATGGCTTTCAGGTGACACCATGAATTATAAAAATAACTTTTATTGTAACGGTCAATTGACGTTTTGGACGAAAAGTTTGATATTCTGATGTTGTTTTTGTGAACATAAATACCATTATATAAATGGAAATTCATTTCTGCAAAACGCAATACATAGTAATAATAAGTCAATATATTATCTAACTAGCGGCTCACCCTCGCTTCGCTCAGGTTCGCCTCTAGAAAAGCACAAACAGATCTATCCCACGAGAACCGTTCATTTTTCCGGGATAAAAGTAACCTATTGTTTCACCGGTAATATAATGTACCAGCATGCCAAATTACACTACATTAGGTGCATAAGTTGTTGTGTACTCGGCTGTATAAGTTACTATAGTTGTTTAACTATCCCACGGGAACTATTTAATTTTCCGGGATGAAAAGTATCTAAAATGTTGACCGGGGATATAAGGTATCACCATACATAATTTCATGTAAATCGGTCCGACAGATTCGGAGATTAGCCCGTACAAACAGAAAAAAAGATAAACAGACAAACAGACAGAAAAACAAAAGAAATTGAAAAGAAACTGCTTTTGTTCTATTTCTTTTCTTAAGTCCCCCTGATTCGGTTTTAGATTTTTTTTCTATGTACAGACATTTGATATCTACAGTTTTATTATATATAGAATGTATAATGTATATATAGTGAGTATTTCGAGCTCTGCTCTAATGATTACTACTCACCTGAAAAGCTATAGTGTTGAAAACTGTCAACAGTATTTTGAGAGGTAGTCTTGCTTTATAAGATTTGTGGGCCCATAGCCTGTGTGCGCCAGCTGTGATACCGAGTCCGGAGCATATGTAGAGAACTACAGCTGCAACCAAAATATCATTATGACTTCTCTTATAATTATCTAGTACCTGGGCCACCGAGCTTCGCTCGGAGTTTTTGGCCTAAAGTACAATTTTCTTTTTTTTTAAACTAAAAACTTGAATAAATATAAAAAAAAAAACAAAAGTAAAAACTTTGTATGCGAACGAGATTCGAACCTGGACACCTGTGAGTGTTTATCTTGCACCTTGGCCGCTTGACCACGATACTTTTGCCCGAGCGTGCAAATTACCGACCGTATTTTGCGTGGAATAATGCAAAAGAAAACTGCATGAAAACTCGAAAACACGCGTTCTCGCAGACATAAGACTAATCTAGATGGAATTATCGCCCCCGAAACCTCCTAATATACTAAATTTCATTAAAATCGTCGGAGCCCTTTCCGAGACTCAGATTATTAGTATATATAATCTGAAACTCGGAAACATACTCGTATATTGTGTTTGCCAAAAAATGACTATACTTTATTTTCTTCACAATAATTCTCCAAAATATCTCAACAAAGCACCTGTTAAAAGCGGAGCTCAAAATTCCAATTTTAAGAGGTTCTCCATCGAATTTTAAGTTTTCCCATACAAATTACACGGAAAACATGATTTGTAATACTTTTTTGTCCTGCAAACTGTGACGAAAATATTTTTTCAAAAAAATGAATGAATGGATCTTTTTTAGTATTCAATTTACTACAAAAAGTTCTATTGAGTCGAATTTCTATCTTCAATATTTGATTTGTTATATAGCTTTGAAGTTCAAATTTACGGATTTTTGCATGTTTTAGCTAAACTGTAAGAGTTACAGAAAAATGTTAAATGGCAAAAATGTTAAATGGCAAGTTTGTAGTACGTTTGAAATCCTATAAAATAGTCTCCGTCAACTTTTTCATGTCACCAATTACAACAAAGTTACAGGCTCACGAATATTTATTTTTTCAAATTTTTGCTTTTTTGAAGTGAAACTTCTTTAGAATCGTTGTGATTTGAAACTCGATGCAACGGAAATGCGACAGTAAAAAGAGATAAACATATAAATATATAGGATTAAGCCGGCGATAGAATGAGATAGAATACATTGCGATGATGCCATGGTAACCGTTGTTATTTGATAGAATACATTACACAGGAAGTGGAAAATAATAAAATTCATTACTGATTATTATGTAATGTTTATATTTATGTCAAATAAAATGTAAAATAACTTTTAAACTTGGTAAAAATAATATAAAAAAATCCTTATGATTATCCTACTCCTGATACTCTATATTCATATCATTTTCTGAAGATTCACTTCTACGATGTGTGAATTGCACACACTCTTTTTTTTTATTTTTTTATTTTTATCAATTTATTTTATGTAATTAATTTAATTTGATGTTATTGCAAATTTGCACCAATTTAAATACCTATTCATCGATACCCCACTCGACATAGTTCGTTGATTTTCATTTTTTTCTTTTTCACATTATGGGATCTAGCAGCCCCCATATTTATTTATTTATTATGTCACCTATCTAAGAATACTTGGACTAATGGGACGAATCTAACGATACCTTAATTATAAAAATCCATCGAGTGGTTTGGAAGATATGAGGCAATAAAGAATATTACAAACATACAAAGATAGGCGTGAAAAACATAACCCTTTCCTTGCAGTCGGGTAATAAATGTGACACGTATTATTATGTAAAATATGTGCGTTTGTATTTGTGTTTTTTATCGTAATTGATGTTAAAATAAAAAATAAATTGTCTAGCTTAAGCTAGTTAATTATGAATGTATGTCATGCCTATACATAAGTAGGTACCTACTTATACTTAAATATGAATATCTGAGTAGGAACACGTCTTTGTTTCTAAAAACTATCTGAAAATATAATAACAATAAGTACAAGTCAACCTACCAAAGAAACGAGTAGTCCACATGGCCGTTGTTAGGAACAGGTAGGCTCCATACACTCCTCCGATGTGAAGGGTCACGAAGATTATTACATTTCTCCATACTATTTCCCATTTACGTTTTTCAGCGGAGGGCGGGACGATGACTGTGGCGTCTTTGTTGAAATCCGCTTCATGTAGCACCCACGATCCTGTTTGTTGGTCTTGGGGAGGCATGGTGTCCTAAAAAGATTTTATTGGATAAATAAACATTCATGTATTTTTTACTCTTGAATGTCTCGCTGGCTCTTCTTATAGTAAGTAGCCTTCCGAGCCAGTGGTAGTTTCCTAGCGTACGTTACTTATACGTACGCTAGCGACTCACCCTCGCTTCGCTCGGGTTCGTCCCTACCTACGTTTTAACATTTAATATCGATTTCTCAGAGATGAGATATTTTCCCGCAGTAAAAAGTATCCTATATGTTGACTCGAACAACCAGCTATCATCACCTCAAATTTCACAAAATCCCTCCAGAGGTTTTTCCGTGATGCGGTAACAGACAGACAGACAAAAATTCTAAAAGCTATAGATTCGGCCTCTTAATCGATAATAATGTTTATTACAATGAGATTTTCCAAAAAATATTATATACAAATTCGGCTTAGTTACAATTTTATTATATGTATAGATATACATATTTGCGAATTTGCATACAATATTACATTGTATTTAAAAACAGCTTTTAAAAGTGCTTGTAAGACGCCACATTTCGCACATTTGTATATATATTTTAATTTCGTTTATTCATTGTACTAGCTATTATTCGAATGAATAAATATTTAATTATCCTATAGAACCAGTGCGCCACTTACGTCTTACATATGATAAGTAGATGATATTATTTCGGTAATATTTGCAATGCAACTACAAACCGAAGTTTTATGATGGACAAACTAACCAGCCACATAGCAAGGGGATGTAGGAATATATATATATATATATATATATATATATATATATATATATATATATATATATTTCTCATCTTAATCAGAATCAAAATCTTAATCCTTGATTACCTGATACCTGGAAATTGGCCGTCTAACCAACCTAGCAGGCAGGCATGCGATCTTAGTACATACTAACATTACTCAATCGTCCACATTTCGTTCGACAGAAAATGCGTGATATCTGGTAGCCCTGGGATCTTGGACTATTTCGGATTAATTTTCGGACTATTTCGTGGGAGAGCTTAATATTATAACTTTTTAAATCACATGTAAAACAATAATGTTGCTTTTAAATAAATATTTTTTTAATTAATAAAGTTAAGAAAAAGTAATATTTATAATAATAACAGCTAAAATTAAATAAATAATGTTGCTATATTTAATTATAATACTATTAAAAAAATTACAATGCTTAGAATTAAAATCAACAAATATTGTAAGGTACTTTGGTATCATTTTTGAATTTTTGAAATCATTTTTATAAAATTGTGGGTAGGCAGTTAGGCACTATCTGTAACAACCACAAATCAAAATAAATCCACGAAATAATCCGAAAAGATAGTTTTATTTAAAATTAAAACACATTAGTTATAGTAAATAATACATAATATTTACCATTAACAATAATTTATTTGCTGAAGATCTTATTTGAATAATTATAATTAATAACCATCATGTAAGTACGTACCTAATTATCATTAACTATAATAATATCAATAAAGTTTTAATCTGTTGTTAATGTGATTAATGACATTTTGCAAAGTTTATTTGATTTTTATTAAAATATTGCGGTGGATTTTATTAAAAAGAAGAACATGGCTTTTTACATAAATGACGTTCGCAAAATTGTTAATTAACGCCACCGACATAGCTTGTCATTTCAATGTTCATTATTGCAAGGATGATTTTAATATGTTTAATATTAGGATGGTTTATGGGGAAAATGTTATTTTAAATGGTAAACATACGTGCTCTATTATTTAATTATTATAGCTTAAAAATGTATTAGGATTATTACGTACGAGTATTACGATATTATAAAAACCTATAAGAATTTTCAACCGACTTAAAAAAGGAGAATGTTCTCAATTCGACTGTATTTTTTTTATGTTTGTTACCTCAGAACTCCGTCATTTATTAACCGACTTGGACAATTTTTGTGTTGTTTGAAAGTGTATACTTCCAGATTGGTCCCATTTAAATTTCAAAAAAAAATACCACCCCTAAGGGTGGAAAAATAGCTAATGATGAAACCTACTTCTAATTGTCATATTGATTTGAAACTTTGCAAGTGTTTTTATTTCCGTTGATAGTACAGTGGTTCGGTATTGTTGACCTGATCTGATGGTAAAGCTTTGCTTTGTATGGGCTGGCACCGATTTCGAAAATATTTGATTAGGTATGTATTTAATAAGTAGGCTTTAATTACATAGCCAAAGCACACCGACTTCGAAAAAATTTAATTAGGTATGTATAGTAAATGAAAACTACCAATCAGTTATTTCTTTCTTTTTAGTGCTTTTGTTTGAAGTCGGTTTTTATTTATTACTACAATAATTTATTGTTGCTAAATAGATGTTAATAAATTTAAAATTTTATATTATAAGTAGGTACATATCTATACAGAAATTTGAAAGTTAGACGGCATAAGCAACAATGATAGAATTTTACATGATAACCTGTATCACGTAAATTGATTACTATTTTATTGTTGTTTTAATTACTAACGTACTGACGTATCAAGAGGTTAACACAAATTTTATTGAAATTAATAAATCATAATATGTAACAAGACATTACCGAATAGATTAAAAATATTATTTATAAGGAAAATGTAAAACTAAGCAGTTAGTAGAAAATAATAAATATAAAACGATATGCTGCCTATATAATTTTTTTAAAATTGAAAAGACCTATTCGAAAATTGTTCTCAATACATTAAATTGCATAAATGATCTCACCCCATTATGTAAATTGCATCATTTTTCTAAATGGCCACTAAACTGAAATTGTCATAAATATACCTATATAATTGACTAGCATTGCCCGCGGCTCCGCCCGCGTTCAGGTGACCAAAAACCAAATTCTTAGGTTTTACATATTAGTATAGGTACTCTTACATTCCCGGGGGAGAAGCCAACTCCTACCGGGCGCGTCCCCAGGTGGCGGATAGGGGCATGCCACCCGCTTAGAGGGGCGGGTGGTACCGGAGAAATCCGGCGCCGGCCAAATGGATGGGGCCGCTCGTCTAGGCCTCGAGCCGAAGACGTTGCGGCCACCGGTGGTGGGACCGCTTGGTCCCACAACCGGATGATGGGTGCCGGTATGGGTGACTGTGGTCGCAGGCCCGCATTCGGCGGAGGGGTAGGCCGCGGCGGGAGAGGAGTGCCGGTATTTCTGTGCGCCGTTCTCCCTACCTTCCGCGGCCTAGACGGGGCCGCCACCGTTTGATGGCGGACGCGGTGGGGCTGCAGGGGAAGAGGAGTGTCGATGTTTCGTTGCCGCTCTCCCTGTCCTCTGCAGCCGATTGGAAGTGGCCCACTTCGGTGGGCGGTGTTTTGGTTTTATGGGGCTGCTCCGGGTACCTCTCTGACGTAGCAGAGTTGACTGTGGAGCAACCCCATTGGTTTGGTGGTCTGCCTAGTATTTAGGCAGACCTGCCGCCGGGGCGCCGTAGTAGTTATGCGCAAGCGATCCTGCGGCGTCCCACTAAGGCGGGGGGAAGGGATGTCGGGTTTTAGTGGGTAGTACCGGCTCTTCTATCCGGTGAGCCCCACATCACCACCTGGGGGATCAGGTGGTATGCGTAAATGCATTTCCCGACGATAAAAAAACAAAAAAACTCTTACATTGCAGTTTTTGTACTTTTTCTCAAAAATGAGATATTTTCCCGCGGTAAAAAGTATCCTATATGTTGACCCGGATAACCAGCTATCATCATATCTTTAATCAAAATCTGTTCAGTGGTTTTCTCGTGATGCGGTAACAGACAGACAGACAGACAAAAATTCTAAAAACTATAGATTCGGACCCTGTATCGATAATAATGTCTATCTATTTCTATTAGATTTTCCAAAAAATATTTAATGTACAAATTCGACTTAGTTAAAATTTTATTATATGTATAGATTTATAAAAAAATTGCTATCGTAACCGTTGTTAGCTCCAAATAGCGATTGCATACTGTACAGATCACATAATATTATACCTACTAGTGGTACTGTACGCCAAAGTACTCTATAGTGAGTCAAAAGCAGACATTACATATTTTATTTTTAAATATATGTAAAATATTTTTGATATTAATGTATTGTGTTAATATTCTATTTTATTCACGCTTATAATCACTTGATAAGAGATCAATGACGGCTTTGAAATTACGAGTATATTATGTTTATTTCTATAACACAAATGAAATACATTTAATGGGGTACTTTGTAAACATTACATTAAATTAATAAAATTACCATACAATATAGAAATATATTGTAAAAGTTAAGTAATAAATTTGCTTAAAGCTTATGCAAAGCGGACGAGAGACATTGATCAGCGTTTCAGTGATAAATAATAATAATTGAAAGCCTACTAAGGATGTTGTCAATCATGCCAATCTTTTCGGTTTTTATCTTTTCTAGTAGTTAATTAGATTCATTATTCTTATTATTTTCTCTTTTATCTTAGTAATTTATGTAAGCACATAAAAATCATATTGTGCATATTTATTTTAATTTATAGATTTTTGTTTCGATTATTATAATCGTTAATCAAACAAGTGGTCCCAATGACACTTTCTTAGATTTGCGCGAATATTTGACATTTTAAATAAAACTATCTTTTCGGATTATTTCGCCTATTATCATTATACAGGCAGTGCCTACCTGTAACAAGTATATATGTTTGAGACGTCTATAACCTTAGTCTATCCCGTGACCATGATTGCTGTAAAGCATTCGAAACGTCGGGAACCAAAAATCTAAAAAAATCCGCGAAATAATCCGAAAAGATAGTTTTATTCAAAATGGTGCCAATATAAGATCAAGCTTGTTTAAGATGTAGAATTTTGAACATCATGAAAAACGCAGTATCCTGATATATAAAATACTAGCGGACCCGACAGACGTTGTCCTGTCTACACGTCTTTAATTTGAAAATTTCAAACTTTTTTTAATAATTTTTTTGATAAAAATTATTATTCAAATTGTGAATCTAAACCAGATTTATTTTCCCAGATCCCAGATATAGATTCCCAGATCCCCTTGAACACACACAAAAAATTTCGTCAAAATCGGTCCAGTCGTTTGAGAGAAGTTCAGTGACATACACACTCACAGAAGAATTATATATATAAAGATGAGAGATTGGGGGTGAAGTGTTATTAAGTTTCGAGACGATGCTTGGTTATATAAACACTACCAGAATTTATGAGGAAGGGGTTGTTTTGGGTACAACTCAAATCTCAATGGTGCTAGTACTGAACTTTTCTGGCATAAATTATTAGGTCTAGGCTCATCATAGGTTAATTTGGATGAACTTATTATTCCAGTAAGTACCTAAACAAATTATATATTTTTTACTAACGCAAATTACTGCTTACTGTGATTGATTAATTAATCTAATTATTATTATTAACATATAAGAAAAATACTGTGGAAACGTAGGAGATTAATATTTTCCACTTAAACTAAACTTATAAATGTTATTTTCTATAACCTCCTTTTCTTTACTAAATAATATACCTTTTAAAAAATACTAATGGTAATCTATAAATATTCACATTTTGTTATTCATAATATACAATTAAATATACACGACTGATGTTATTAGATATAGAATCACTTACGTTTACTGTTTTAAAGAAAGGTCGAGTCAATAATAATGTCTTTTTGTTTTACCGCTTTGTACTGTGACTTTATTGACCGCGGTGGCGTGATCGCGACGTATGATCTACACTGATCATCGCAAATTGATAAATGGGTGACAGTTCACTGGCTACATATTACACTGCATGAAAATTTCCATAAATAAAATATGTATTTCAATCAAATGCCTTCCTTATTATGTTTCTCATTAAATCTCAATTCTCCTCATACATTAATTCGTAAGTGTGAGTTTTCAAAAAAAAATTGTTTATACTTCATATAAATAAAACTTTATATGACTATTTGATTTTTCTTCACACAATGAGTTTTTTTTTGTGTATACTTGTTATTTTGTGGAAACTTAATAAGATAACAAGCAAAAACTGGAATGAATCATTTTGTAAGTATAAATAAAGATAATTAATTATTTAATTATTTTTATAAACTAACTTTTGCAAGTTATACTAAAATAATTTAAATAACAAATTTAAACTAACATATGATTATTGGGTAGGTATATAAATTAACTTTGCAAACGTAAAGCTAGTTGTTCTGAAAACTTTGCTTAACAAGATTGATTAACTTAAACAGAATAGTATTAAGAAAGCAAAATCTAGTAGGTACAGCTCTAGTTAATAACGTTACAACTAAACTATTGGTAAATAATTGCAAGCAAAATTATATTTACTTTTTATTTAATGTATTGTTATTTAATTCTAATGAGACCCTAATTTCGTTTAACATTAAATCCTGGGACCTTAAAATACATTTAGTTATTTAAAAATAAAATAAAAAAAGTTTTAATTCTAAGAATTCTGACAAAAACGAAACCAAAAAAATCAACTAAAACTAAAGTAAAGTATTATCAAATATCAAAACAGATAAACAACTTTATCACTAACCTTTCTTCCAGAAACCGCACAGTAACTTATTTCACCGAAGAGGTTTATTAAGTTAACACTTAGTGGGGTGCGATCGGATTTAGAGGTCTCGATAGACTGCAAAGAGAATTTTATTTACCCCGATTATATATCTATTATGTCTTTAGGTTACACTTGACGCATTACGTAGCTAGTGGTCAGTCTTTTCACGTAACCCGATGAAACTATGATGTTACTAGATTTTAAATAAAACTATCTTTTCCAAATTTATCGCGGATTTATTTTGACTTTTAGCTCCCGACTTTTCGAATGCTTTACAGCAATCATGGTCACGGGGGAGACCCGTGTTCATGATTGCTGTAAAGTAATCAAGATCAAAATAAATCCGCGACGAATTCCGAAAAGATACTTTTATTTAAAATGTCAAATATTCGCGTAAATCTAAGGAAGATACTAGATTTAATATAAAAAAACTCATAAAATAAAATACCTAAGTAAGTTAATAATACACAAAACACAAACTTTTTGTTCCAAAAATCTCTTAAAATATATTATATTATTTTTATACCGTTTAATATTTCTTCCAAAATTTTTGACTGGTTTTTTAGAATTCAAAACGATAGATACAACAAGTATAGTAGAAGCAACTGAACGTTTGCTTAACTCAACGCACAATGCAATGCCATTGGCCAGGTTTTATTAGCGTCATCATTATCACTAATTGCCTAATATACATTTTTTGTAATGTTTTCAATTTTAGCATTCTTTACGTAAATATGTTGTAGTATTTGTTTTTTTATTAACTTTAAATTTTGCATGTTTTTTATTCCGATAAAAGTCTTGAACGTTAATAGGGTAAAAGATTAAACGAGTATAAATAATATTTTAGTATAATATTTTACCCTTAACCTTCTCTATCTGTACATATCATAAAAAAAGTCCCCCACCGCGTCTGTCTGTCTGAACGCGATAAACTCAAAAACTACCGAATAAATTTTAGAACGTTTTTCACCAATAGACGGAGTGACTCACGGGGAAGGTTTAGATGTATAATTCATTAAGGTTCTGTGTAAATTGGCTAAAATATGACGTTAGTTGTTGAAAATTTCGGGAAAAATCATACCGACTGGGAGCTTTACTGGCTTATATATTTATTTATTTATTTTTATTAGGTAAACAAACAATAAAATGGTACTTATACGATACTTATATACAAAAATACATACATCAGCTAAGTTTCCACTGATAGTAATTACATGACAAACCAAATACAATTCTACGAGTATATACATAGGTCCCTACATAACAGTAAGTTAACAAAAAATACAAACTCAAATATTATTACTATATATAGGTACTAGCGACTCACCCACGTTCGTTCCTAATGAAAATTTAGGTTTGTATGTATTTTTTAATGCCGAATCATAAAAAAATAAAAATAAAATTTATTGTCCAAATAATACAAAAAAATAAGTTTTTTGGGGTGGCCCCTTATAGTTGTCACTTAGGGGTATACAAAATAGTTTACCTCCTATTTTCAGACCTACTGAGTATATATACCAAAATTTTATATTTTGTATATATTGGATATACCTACAGATGAATTTTTCAAGTGGGCGTGCATGGCTAAATCCGAAACTATGAGGAATAGTTAAAAGTACTCAAAGGAGTCTCGGGTCCGATTTTCATAAAAACTAAAACTGCATCATTGGATTTTTGAAAAATCAATTTTCCTAGCCAGGAATAGAACCTGTTAATTTTATTATATTTTTTTTGCGAAGAATCCTAATTCTTTATCAAAAATGTAAAGTAAGTAGCCTCAGTTTTTCCTTATTCCTTATAGCATTAGTTATCTGCCAGTGAAAGTCCCGTCAAAATCGTTCAAACTGTTTCGGAGATTAGCCGGAACAAACAGACAAACAAAAATTACAAAAAAAAATCATACGCCTTTAGTAAAAAGCTGTTACTTTGTCATTATAAACCATTTTATTTATTTGTATAGATGTATAAGAAAGAAATTCGTTTGGCAAATACACATTGGCTAATTCGTAGCTTCGTTATAGATTATAGACAGACATCTGCTAAAAATGATTTTAGTTTTATAGGAATTTGTTTGTTATGAATCTTATTTATTTACAAAGCTATTCAATTCCTTCTTTGTATTAATCCTTTAAATGTTTATGTTTACTATCATTATATTTGTGTTTAGTCAAATATTAAAATTTAATGAGGCCAAAGTTTTCTTTTATTTAAGCATAAATAACATTAAAAGATAATTAATTACTAGCGTGCAAAGGCAGTATAGGTACTTTGTACAGAAGGTGAATTTTAGTATCAATTTACAATATTCTGTATTGAAAAAAACTTTTACAAGCACTTTTGAATCGTCAAGTCAGTCCGTGAGGAATCTACCACCGGTTCGGAAGGCAGTTCTGCTGAGAAGAGCCGGCGAGAAACTAAACAGTTGTTTTATCTATACATATAATAAAATTCTAACTAAACCGAATCTGTATGTGTATGTATTCAGTCCTTTTTTTTAACGTCCCACTGCTGGGCACGGACCTCCCTTCAATACGAGGGGGATCAGGCCATATTCCACCACGCTGGCCAAGTGTGGGTGTGCGGACTTTACATGTCTTTCGAAAATTTGCTAGGTTCTCTCAGACATGCAGGTTTCCTCACGATGTTTTCCTTCACCATTAAGATAAGTGATAATCATATTAGAAATGATTCGAACATGAAAATATCAGAGGTGCGAGACCCGGGATCTGAACCCGCTTTACTCGGTTTCCCAAGCGAGCGCGTTACCACTGGGCTACCACTGCCTTGAATATCTGTATATTAAATATTTTTTGGAAAATCTTATTGAAATAAACATTATTATCGATACAGAGGCCGAATCTATAGTTTTTAGAATTTTTGTCTGTCTGTCTGTCTGTTACCGCATTACAGAAAACCCACTGGAGGGATTTTGATGAAATTTTGTATAGTGATAGCTGGTTATCCGGGTCAACGTATAGGATTTTTACCGCAGGAAATTGTCTTATTTCTGAGAAAAATACAAAAACTGTAATTTAAAAGTATACTAATATGTAAAACCTAAGAATTTGGTTTTTGGTCATCTGAACGCGGGCGAATACGCGGGCAATGCTAGTTTAAGTTTTATTTTTGTACAATTTTGTAATATAATAATTATCTACTTATCGTACGTGAGACCCAACCAGACATTAGTCTCACACAATGACATATCCATAAAGTATACCGTAATAGTGTAATAAGCTTTATTCAATAATGTATTTTTTATTTTAGATTTAAATTGTTTAAATGGCAAGATCAATATTGACTGTGGAATTCTATTATATGTACATGCGTACACCTAGCCCCATAAACGATATATTCACTTTTTGAAGGCGAATGCCAGGCGTTACCAGTTTATCCTTATTTCTAGTACTTAATGCGTGTCTGTCCCTGTTTCTTAAATATTAATATCAATTAATTTAATGTAATGTAGAAAAACTGAATATGTATATTGTCGGCTCGAAGGGTCTGACACGTTTAAATAGTCGTAATAGTCAATTTAGAGGGGCTGGATTTTGAATAGAAAAATTTCAACTAATAGGTGTATCTTTTAAACAGAGTAACTGTTACTCTGTTTAAAATATACATCTCTGCACAGGAGTCTTTGATCTCCCCGAGTAGATTTTACGAGTAATACAAGTTTTTAGAAGAGTGAGGCATGTTAGTTAACCTTGCAATATAAAAACAATAACTTGCGTATAGCATAAAGAAGATATAAGTGATTAGCCGAATATAAGATAACTTGTATGTAAAAACTACCCAAGTCCAATCTTGAACTTCAATTTATCTTAAGTTATCTACTCTGTGTAAATAATTCGACTGTTAAAATATTCTATTTTTAAATAGCAAACACTTTTGTAGCAGAAAAAGCAAGAAATTGTGTTTTTTAAATTTATTTTAAAATGTTGTATGTTCTTATGAAAAAAATTCAGGATTATCTACAGAACTTGGCACCCATTTAGATCTCAATTCTTTAGTTGGTGAAGTTGACAACCACACATATTCTTAATATTGAACTTGGCTCCCATTTTCACATTTATTGATATCATGACTTTTTGTAAAGAAACTATTATTATTCATAATTCCAAAGTGACATATAAATTCAATCCTTTTATTTTATAATTTTGCGACTATTCGTTAGTGGTTAAGGCGGAATAGAAAAATGTAATTTAATCATCATGGAACCTTTTCTCCTGAGAAAGAAAAAGTTTTTGCTATTACTATGATTCCTTTGCTATTATATATCGAGACAAGTACCTCAATTCGGTTTCTTTGTTAAGGTTATGCGATGTTTTTCCCAAATGTTAATAGATTTTCATAATTCTTGTTTTAATATATAGATTATACCTTCATAATAATTAAAAAAATCTATCCCACGGGAGCAACAACGACTTTTGAGCGATTTATTTAGTCAAAAATAATTTTAAAGAAAGTACTTACTCATAAATAAGTTTTCATTTAAATTCATTGAATTATTGCTCGATAGCTATGTTACCTATAGCTTATTTTGTGTACTTTAATATTATAAAGAGTTAAAGTTTGTAAGTTCGTATATAGGGGTAATCTCTGAAACTACTGATACGATTGTACAAATTCTTTTACTCATAGGAAGCTATAAATATTACTTGCAAACTAACAAAAAATTAATAAAAATATTTCTTGTCGTTTCTTATTTTTGATGTCGATCCGTTCTAATGTAGCCTGAGGTACAGCTAGTAATATAAATAAAGGTAGGTCCTGCATGGATTTCAATATATTTCCTTAATATCTGATATGAGAGAGATGCGGGCTTATGATGATTATATTGTATGTACCTATTGTATTCAGTCCTTTTTAACATCGCACTGCTAGGCACGGGCCTCCCTTCGTACGAGGGGAGATCAGGCCATAGTCCACCACGCTGGCCAAGTACGAGTTTGGAGGGAAGATTATTTATATGATATGATTATTATTATATAATATTATTTGTGATATGAGATCTCGTGAATTCTTGCGAGATGTAATTAAAAAATAGTATTTTTCTATTGCATCACAGTACCTACTGCATGATGTTACATGTACTGTGTAATATATTATTTTTTTGTAAAATTAATTTAAAAAGCAGTGACAGACATAATAAATAAAAAAAACACGTAAGCGTGTACAAATTTTGCTTCCAAATGGTGAATTTAAATGCCCATGAATGGCTTGACAGCGTGTCCATACGTTGTAATTTACCTGTACGGTTCTCATAAACGGTTTTCAGTGGCATATATATGATTATAATCACACCGTACGGCAAAACCTGTTACGGTTAAAAAAATAATTCGGCAAACCGTATACGAAAACTGATTCGGCAAACTGCATCGTGTTAACTAAACAATTAACATATTATCACAAACCTAATTTAATAAGAATAATATCTATAACCTCAATTAACGAAAACAAAATCGTTACTATGCTATACAATCTAGCTATACAGCAGCTAATAAAGTTTATTAATATTGTGTAGAGTATAGACTGTCTGAAATATGAATAACACGAGTAGATAATATTTATTAAAAAAAAACAATATTTTAGTAATAAAATTATTTAATTTACCCCTAATTGAAATTACAATGTAGTCAGGATATGATATATTGTGCTACCGAACAACCAAAGTTAACGAGTGAAATTACTATAATAAAAACCAGTTTTTTCCTAAAAATTTTATATTTCTAACAAGCTACTAAACCTTCTAATTCTATGTAGCTAATTAAAATAATTATAAATAATCAAAAAGATTTCTTACAAATAAATATTATATCGCAAATCCTTTACAGTCAGTAATATCTAATGCAAACTCTATGTCTATTTCGACAAAAAATACTTTTCTGAATTTAGAAAATAAATAATTATCTTAAATCTACTCTGTGTTTATTTTTTCTTGTGTGGGCGCATTTAAACTTCCGTATCCCCATTCCTCGTGAAAGCCATCACCCGTCCTCTTCACTTTCTTTTCGATGACTTCGCGAGATACGGTTTTGAGGTCGTAAGCCCAGCCAATTTTGGCCATGCCGTCAATGAAAGGCTTCGTAAAGTTTAACGAATATTCTCCTAGTTCCGCAGTTTTGTAATCCCAAGGGGGAAGTGTGATGGTAGTTGTGAAAACCTTTACCTAGAACCACCAGTAAGACTGGCCTGGTTTCAACGGGGTTAATGTTCTTGTCATAAGGCTTACTGCCCCATTTATGTTCCGCAGAGTTGACGAGCCATGTGACGTTTAGCACATAGACGTATCGAAAAATGGCACAGACGAAATAAGCATTCCATAATGACTCCCCCCATAGTGTGGGAATATATGATGGTAAAATGAAGCAAGTTAAGGGCATCAGGATTTTATAGTATCTGAAAAGGATATATTTTTCTTCTTTATTTTACAGATATGTGTACATGTAAAAATTAAAATTATTCTAATAATAAACATTAAGCTTTTATTAATGATTCATATCGTAATCGGTGATATATCGATATTAAATATTGTAATCGATTATCCGCTTTAACAATAATAAACATGTTAAGTCCTACTCTTGAAATCGATTCGAATTCGATTTTGTTTTTGATTCGAATTGATTTTTGATTCGAACTCGATCCGGCTGCCTTACACCCGAACCAAATCGAAACAAAACCGACATCGACTTACGTTCGAGTGTTATCAGCGCCGTTAACTGTATCCGGCTGCTGTGAATCTATGGTCAAATTTTTTTAATGTATAAAAAACATTATATAATTCGCTTTTTTTGTTTGAGACCATTACCTAGTGTTTTAATAACAATTTTAAAGATTACATTTAAATTATTCTAGGCGTTCTAACATTCATTTCGCGATTAAACTTATATATTTATTCTGAACCTTTAAACTATTTATTAGTTATTACTATGGCAACGAGGTGTCACAGCGCTACATTTCAAAAGATTCTATTGGTGTATCCATACTTATATTATAAATGTGAATGTGTGTTTGTTTGTTTATTTGTCTTTCTTTCACGTCGAAACAGGGTGACGGATTGGTGTGATTTTTTGTGTGGAGATAGTTGGAGGGCTGGAGAGCTGGACATAAGCTACTTTTTACCGCGGGAAATTATCCAATTCCCACGTGAAAACACGTTATAATACAATAAAAAAAATATATGATCAGAATTACTTCAACCTTGGTATTAATGTTTTTCAATAAAATTAAATAAATACGTGTTTTAGTATTTTTCGAAATTCATTCTATAAGGGGCTAAAATAGGGGAAGAAAGTTTGTATGAAAATACCTTTTTAAAGATTTTTTTGTAGTTTTAGCGCAAGCGAAGCCGCGGGTTCTGCTAGTATGTAATAAAATAATAATTAATAATATTTTTAAGCCACAAAAAAAATAAAAAAAAATAAGTTATGACAATATGTTTTGGTCAATAAAATTACGAGATATTCTTTGGTAGTATATGTATATTATTTGTGTATATTAACCGTTTCACTGTCCCATGAGTCATATATGAACATTTCGATTGTTTAACTATTGTGTCTATTTTGCGGACAGTTAATCTGTTAAAACAAATATGCGTTACACCTCTATTAATGATGTCCGTAGCCGTACAGTAACGTTTTAGATATAATTGTTCCTTAACTGTTATAATATGGTTACAGATTCAAGAGAAAAGAAGGGAAGATATACAAGCCCACTCTACTGGAACGGTAGAAAGTAGAAGAAACAATGAATATAATTCGTCTAACACTATGAATTGGTTGTATGAAGTGTAAAATAAAAATGTTTATTACAAATGCGTATTTTATTAAAATGCAAATAAAACATTAATTCAGAACTCGAAGATGTCGGGAGTAAGGCGGCTGATTCATACATGACTTCTCTATTTCATATTTCACATTCATTTTATTTCTATTTTGATAAAATTATGTATTAATTATCGGAAAAAACATATTATAATAATAATTATTCTCAGATCGCACCTAATATTTACTTAGTAACTTAAAGTACCTAAAATTTTAAATCGTACATTAGATACTAACTTTTTCTGGAAATGCAGTATTGGGTCGGCCCATAGGTCCGTCTTATCAATTGTATGTCCTTTTGCTTTAATCTCTGGATGCTTTCTTACTAAGAGCCACCCGACATGTGAAAAGAAGAAACCTCGTGTGGCATTGTGGGGGTCTGCATCTGTCTCTGAGTACTTGTGGTGCACGCGATGATCTCGCGCCCAGTCTAATACGGCATCCTGATGATAAAATAATTCCATTAGTACTTGACCCATAAAACTGACAAAAAATATTAAGATAAGGTTAAAAATATATAAAGAGAAACATAATTATCTACGTTATTATAAATACGTATTTGCTACGTATCGGCATGAGTGGCATAAATAATATATTTCAAAACAATGTAATCTCTAATGTTGTAACAGATTGTGATACGCAATGAAAGTAGATATGTTAACAGTCAAAGGATATCATAAATATTATAAAAATAAATATAAATAAACACAAAACAAAGATAAAACTTGACTTTCCCATTGACATTGACCGGAAGCATGTTTGGGACTCTGGCTGTGGACTCGTATCACGCGTAGATAATAAGAGACCATGTGGGCTACGGGATTATTCATCTTTGGACTTTGACTGTGAGTTACATCATTTTTTATGACTTATTGTTGACATTACGAAACTAAAATTATTTTTCCAATATTTATGTATAGTTTTACTAATGTAATGCAACTAAAGTCGTGGTGTAAATAAAACAAGAAACGTATGTCTCAAGTGCCTATGGGCTATGCGTATGTGCTAAGATAATGTTAACTATTCTGTTTCGTTTTCCGTCTTTTTAAATATTATAAAAATTGTATGGTTTTATAGAATCTATACGAATATTATAAAGAGGTAAAGTTTGTGAGTTTGTGACGTTGTAGTGGGTAATAAGCATGGAAATGATTGCTACTTTTAAATCATTATCATGTGATAAAATTACGTATATTTTTCACGTGCTACTTTTCACGCAATGATTTTTGATTTCGACGGTCTGGTGTCACACTTTATATTATTTGCTATTAAAATGAAGTATGAAATGTCACCAATGGCGCTACTGATGTGATATGGAGCAGAGATATAGATCTGACGTAGTTGCATACGTACATGGTGCTATGAATGAACCTATTTTCAAACAATGAACTTTCCCTCATACTTCTACAGGCTTGGGACTGACAATGTAAAATTAAATGAATTTTAAATATATCAGAGTAATCACACGGTAAAATTGTATTAAGCTAAGTTCCATAATTACATTGGCGTATTTAAAAGTTCATTGTTTTTATGTACAATAAGAATTTTTATAAAAGAATTTTATACACTTTTTTTTTGTTTTTCTTAATTTTTTTAATTTGTTTATAATCATTTTTTTTGCTTTTTGATTTTTTTGATGATTGATTTTTTTATGAGATATCTATATACAATACTCTTCATTGCTTTTTAAAAATACAGTTCCGCTGTTCGTTTTCTGCTTAATCGTGCTCTTTTTTGGGTTGCAAAATTTCCCGCTTTTGAAAATACTCTCTCACACTCCACTGATGTCACCACGATGTGACAGTGCTCATGAAATATTTCCGCCAAATTGGGGTACATATAGGAGTGAGATTTCCACCAAACTAATGGCGAAGAATCGCGCGGAAGCACTGGTTCATTAATAAACATTTCTAGCTCGTTCTCAGCGTTGGTGGTTATGTCGTCGACTGTAGGCGTAATTGCAGCAATGGTTTTGTCTATTTTGCCCCATATAGATATTGTTTCAATATCTTGAGAGGTTGAGGCAGAGAACGCACGTTGGGGGGGGGGGCATTTCATGCCTACTCGCTCGCTCTCTAATTAGCAATAACGAGTGACGACGATTTAATTCTACGATGAAATTCGAATACGATGCGTGATTTCACCAAGCTGTGATTTGTAGCAGTCACTGCGAATTTAAGTAGCAGGTGATGTATGATAACGCATTTCATGTGATTTTTCACTTGCTACTCGTGAAATGTTCCATGCCTACTGGGTAATCTCTGGATCTACTGAACCGATTTAGATGAAATCTAGTAAGAAGATAGTTTGAGTCCCTGGGAAGGACATAGAAAACTTTTTTCCCGGAAATCATCCCTTTAGGGGGTGAAAATGAGGATAAAAGTTTGTATTGGGAAGCAAGCTAGGGACGAACGCGAGCGAAGCGAGGGTGAGTCGCTAGTTAGTTATATAAAATTTATTTTATCTTACATAAAACTACTCACTTATCGTAAATTCGCCTTGAGTAAATAGGAAGGCATATTATATAATTAACTAGCGACTCACCCTCGCTTCACTCGGGTTCGTCTCTAGGTGATTATCTAAATGAACATAACTTTTTTATTTATAAACCGATTGAAATAAAACAAATACTAAGTGTTAAGTAAATATATTATTATTTCTTAAAACTACTTACGATATTTATAATTACATTTTAGTCGTCGCTAACACTTACTGTACTACATATATATTCGCTATTTACCTAGCTATCCACTTGGGTAGTATAAGTGACGAAAAATTATATGTATGAACTCTTCGATCAACAATACTACTGTTGATCGAAGTATGAACTGCAAAAGTAACATTGTAATCACATGTATTGCATATCTATTTGTATAGGATTACAAAGTTACTTATGCAGTTTATTATATATTATATATCTCGAAAACGGGATTGAAATTGCGTGATTTTTGAGTTTTTCCTTGCGTTATAGGCTAAACACTAATTATTTTCACAATTTGAAGCTCATATGTCTGCTAGAAGTACCATAAGAGTTTTGATGATAGGTCAGTGAGTAACGATAATAAAGAAGTTTGACTTGCAACAGCTCTTAAAGTACAGGTTCAAATTAAATAAATAAATATAGTAATTTAAAATGAAAAATGCCCATAATAGCTTCGGGAAAAGGATAGTACTACCGTGGCCTTTTTTGCTCGACTTGGCCCCCGCTAAGACATTTATTTATATATGCGGGGGCACTGCCGGGCCTCAAATAAATAAATGTCTTTCAATCAAATACCTTCTTTATTATATTTTTCATCAAATGTCAATTCGTCAGTGTCAGTTTCTAAAAAGATTTGTTTATACTTTATATAAAACCTTATACAATTATTTTGATTTTTCTACATACAGATTTGAGAAAGCAAAAATCCAAATAAATCCGCGAAAAAATCCGAGAAGATAGTTTTATTTAAAATGCTAAATATTCGCGTAAATATAAGAAAGTATTATTAATGGACATCATTTTGAACAATTGATTAGTTAAGGTGTAAGAGGTAACAAAGAAAAATATATTTTTTTTGTTAAAAATGAGCTCTTTCCTTAAGTTTGCCGTATGTCATTACTTCCCAGAATGTGTTCCTTATCAGCAAAACTATAGTTTTACCTCAGTGACTAGCCATATTTTAAAAAATAGAGTAAACATGTCCGGAATATCATCAAATTTGAAAACAGCGAAGCACAATGATTAATTATTAATATAGAGTACTGCTGGACTCAAATTCATTACATAAAAATTAAAATAGTTCCTTGTTTTATTATTTTACTAAATTATTATATTAATTTAATAAAAAAGTTCTAATGAAAAGAGTTGGATAAAAGTTAGAGCTTTAAATTCTTTATCTGATACTTAAGTTGTACGTAAGTACGGAAGTTGACTCCTACAGTTAACTATATTTCACTACAAACAAGGTTATTTATACAATAAAAATTGGTTTATTTTTGTGTATAGTCTCTATATAGTGCGATCCTCCTTCCAATTGCAAAATAATATTTAAATATATAAGTATGTACAAGACCTTGTCGTAGTCGTAAGAGGTCCCTGCCTAAACACAATTTCCACCAGGTTGTAACCTGAATATCTATGAAATATCATTAGAACTTAAAATAGTTAGTATTTTTATAGGTTAAGTTTTTAAAGAAGTTATTCTAAAAATCTAGCAAAATTTTCTATTTATACAAATTTTGATTCGACACCAAAAATGCAAAGAGAACAAGAACATATATAGGAAACATTAGAGAACTAATTAAAGCACTTACGTGTAGTAGGTATATTTAAAACCCAATAAAAAATTAAAAATAAAAACAATTTAAAAAAAAACAGGTTTTTGGCAAATATTTCGATAGCTTTGAGATTATTGTAAAAAGTGTCATTTATAAAAGTTGTAAATTTTTACTAGACCTATTTTTATAAAGAACATTTTTCGATAGGATGTCACAGTAAGCCGGAAATTGAAAGAACTATTTTTCAACGCTTTCCTCGAGGGTAGCTACACATCGGGGGCAGTTTACGAATTTTTGTTCTTTATAACCTGCTAACGTTTTCAAGACATAAAACTTCAGGTTCTAGTTATCAAATAATATTTATCTCTTAAAAAACTTTTTAACAAAAAAATAAGAACCGACTTCAAACAAAAGCACTAAAAAGTAAAAAATAACTGATTGGTAGTTTTCATTTACTATACATACCTAATCAAATATTAAAATATATATATATATATATATATATATATATATATATATATATATATATGTATGTATATATATGTTAACACTAGACATAAGGATAAACTGGTAAGGCCTGGCTTTCGCCTTCAAAAAGTGAATAAATCGTTCATGGGGCAAGGTGTACGCATGTATAATAGAATTCCACAGTCGATATTGATCTTGCCGTTTAAACAATGTAAGTATAAAATTAAAAATATATTATTGACTAGCATTGCCCGCGGCTCCGCTCGTGTTCAGGTGACCAAAAATAAAATTCTAAGGTTTTACATATTAGTATACTCTTACATTGCAGTTTGTGTATTTTTTCTGAGAAATGAGACATTTTCCCGCGGTAAAAAGTCAATCCTATATGTTGACCCGGATAACTAGCTATTACTATACCAAATTTCATCAAAATCCCTCCAGTGGATTTTCTGTGATGCGGTAACAGGACAGACAGACAGACAAAAAACCTAAAAACTATAGATTCGTCCTCTGTATCGATAATAATGTTTTTTTTCAATAAGATGTTCCAAAAAATATTTAATGTACAGATTCGGCTTGGTTACAATTTTATTATATGTATAGATTAATTTATATAAACAGTATGAAAATAATTAACCAATGAGAAAAACTCATTACTCAAATTTGGAACAAAACATTTAGTTATTTTACAGGACTATTGTATTTCAAATGAAAAAAATCCGTTCGGCTTGATTCG